AACTAAAAGCCAAAGTACTTTTCAGACTAATGTAAATCGTAAAATTTGTGTGTTTTAACCAGGCTGCCAACTGTCTTGCTTAAAATGTTGTCAAGCAGAGTTCTAGCTGGTGACGCCTATTATGAAACATAAGGCTAATGTAATTTAAGCCTCAGAAGACATTGCTTACCTTTTAATTTCAAATGGGTTAGGAAATCTTTTGTCTTTTTTTTCTCTTTGGAAATGGAATGAAGTTTGATTCCTTAAGAAGTTATACAATAAATACCTTGTGAAATTTTTATTGTACAACAGAAATTCTGTTTCCCAGACAAACAACAAATGTGATTTATGGCAGACTGGTGTTAACAGTAAAGGGACCTAACACGTTGGGTGGTATTCAATGTCCCCAATTCTTGGAAAAGCAAGTCTGTCAGATTTTGATTATTAGGAATTAATAATGCAATCCCTTGCATGTTAGAAACAGGGTAAGTGTTTACATCTATATTTAACGCTTGTTTCTTCAGAAGTCCCTCGACTGTGGGGAAAGCCTGGTTGGCAATTGAGAAATGGTCAGTGACAGCTGACAATGTTGGTGGCAACAGGAGTGAGAGGAAAAAGCTACCCCGGGTTATCAACCTTTTATACGAGCTGTAATATATACCCAGAAAAACTGACATCAGTAGCACTTAAGGGAGGTAGGAATGACAGCAGAGCTAGTAGGGAGGCACAGAATTTGTCCGCCTTTAGGTTGCTGGTTCACACAGAGTTTACTTGGCTGTTGACTTGATGGAGGAGACTGGGAAACAGCGGTCAAAAGGCTCAAACACGCCATCCGCCGTTTGGCTGCCTCTGGTACCTTCATCAGCCCTTGCAGCTAAAGCCCCACTGCCCTGTAGAGCGTGAAACAAACTTTGTTATCGGTCCCTTTTCACTCCTGGCGTACTTCTTAATACCGGGATCTTAATACCGAGATCTTAGCCAGGCTTCATTCAGATACTCTACTATATTTTGAGATGTTAATATAATTCAGAATGTAACCGAAGATCACCTAACAGCAACTAGTTATTAATAGTGACCTACTTTCTTGGGTCAAATGGTATTGCCCACAGCAATAGTCAAGGTTAGCTATATAGTAGCGTGCACATGTGTGTATATATACACATATGCATATATACCTATTTATGTATACGTGTGTGTGTATATGTATATCTACACACATGCATGCACAGCCCCGAGTTAGTTCAGCGCACTGGTGAAATTCCTTTCATGTAGAAAAGAAGAGCGCAGATTTGGAAAGCAGATTTGGAACCTAGGCTTCCTGGTTTTTAAGAACATTTTCCACAACAGTATAGTACCTAATTTTGGTTGAGGACTTACAGGACCTTGACATACAGCCTAATGCAAGCATGCTTTCCTGTTTAACTTTACAATATAATACTTGGCATTGAAGTATAGTATTGTAATTAAATGATGCCAAGTGTGAAGATAATTCCACAGATTATTGTACTGTCTTTTGGAATTACAACCAGCCTCTGACGGGTCCTTTCATATTTAAGTATCAGTACATTATGAAGTTATCATTACTAGGAAAGTTAAATCATTTCCATTTTCAATGAATCTGGTACATGCATTATCTAGACATAAGTTAAAGAACAGATGCTACTACTAATTTAGGCTAATCTGGATGCTTTTGTAGTAGTTGAAGATTTCTTTACCGCACAGAGAATATATAACAAACCTCAATGTAGTTTAAACAATTTTGGCAAGGAAAGAGCTAGAAGACCACCTTCTTATAGAAGCGCTAGTTGTAGGAAAGAGCCTCTGACTGAAAAATTGTTATGTCAGTAGGTGGAAGAATAAGTGAAAAGCTCCTAGATTTATCTGAGAAACTATAGGAAATAATCAATTAAAGTAACTGGGCTGAAATCTCAAATGCAAGTATTTGAATAGAAGACAATATAACATATCTTTAGGTTAGAGGTGAAAACTATTTGGAATTTGAAGTTCAAGGAAGAGAAAAAATATTTTGAATGAGCTCGAAATGTCACTGGGTGAATAACCATTGGAAAAAAGATGACAAGTGTCCTGGTTTCTGCTGGGATAGAGTTAATTTTCTTCCTAGTACCTGGCATAGTGCTCTGGTTTGAATTTAGTATGAGAATAATGCTGATAACACACTGATGTTTTAGTTGTTGCTAAGTACTGCTGATGCTAGTCAAGGACTTTTCAGCTTGCCATGCTCTGCCAGGTACACAAGAAACTGGGAGGGGGCACAGCCAGGACAGCTGACCCAAACTGACCAAAGGGCTATTCCATACCATGTGACATCATGCTCAGTATAGAAACCGGGGGGGGTTGGCTCGGGGGGCAGCAATCACTGCTCGGGGACGGGCTGGGCATCAGTCAGCAGGTGGTGAGCAATTGCACTGTGCACCACTTGCTTTGTATATTCTTTTATCGTTGTTATTATTTTCTCTTCCTCTGCTGTCCTATTAAACTGCCTTTATCTCAGCCCACGGGTTTTACTTTTTCTTTCCGATTCTCTCCCCCATCCCAGCCGGGGCGGGGGGGAGGGTGAGCGAGCAGCTGTGTGGTGCTTGGTTGCCAACTGGGGTTAAACCACAACAAGAAGAAACTGATAAACAAATAAACTACATCCTGAAGGCCAGAAAGGCCCAAAATTAATTACTGGACCTGGAAAAGGAAATTAAAAAAAACCCAACCAAAACCTAAAGTTTTTGAGTTTTGACACAAAACCAAAGCAGAGTAACTAGTTATGGCTTGTCAGCTGCTGCACTTCATTAACAATATCCTTTTTTTCTTTGCCCCTCTTCTGTTAAAAGATAAATTTCTTCAAAGTACCTTCATTTACCAGTGTAAATGTGAGTTACTGTGGAGCATCTGACGGGGAACGACTTGCTCCTTTGCAGCAGATTGCCTATCTGTTCAATCCCTATTCATGTCCGCCTCTACAGCCATTTAAAAGAAGATGAACAAGGAAAGGAATGACACTATTATGTAAGAAAGACGAACTCAAGCTTAAGAGGTAAGCTAGGACATGGCTCTAATGCTAAACAAACATATATGCACTTTTAAAAAATAAGTATGATGTTAATGACATAGCAGTATTGACAATAGTAGAGCTTTGTAGTAACGCAATAAGGATTTTCAGTTTCAAAACCTACTGAAGCAAGAGTTAAGCACGAGTAAAAAGCAATAGCTCAGCATAAATGAGAAAATTGGGTATTATTTGCTATGAGCTAAGACTTCTAGTGTGTCAGGACTTGTAGTGTATACAGGCTTCACTCGTACCAGGCTACAAGAATAAATATACAAATCACACATTGTTTGGGTTATTTGCTGCCACTGGGAATAGGAACTACAAATAGACAGTGGCAAACAATAGAAGCATAGGGTGGATATGGTATGTTCTTCTAATTACTGACATAGCATGATACATTTCAATGAAGGAAATAATAAATTGGAATGTGTAGTGGGACCCTATAATCAAACATTTAGGAGCCGCTTGAGGAAGTGGCTGACAAAGTGATCAGAGGAAGCCTGGACGTACTATATGATCACAGAAAGGGTAATGATACGCAATGGCCCGAAGCAGTACAGGTGTGAAAAGGCACATAACAGCTATGAAAGACCACAAAAAAAAAAAAAAAAAAAAAAAAAAAATTTTTTTTAATTACCTCAGGAAGGGAAATAGCAGG